GTAGATAATGTAAATAATGATAATTCCTCATCCCAGATATTCAGATAGAAGTTATATTTTGCATCCTTCAAATGGACTTCTTCAGACTAATAAAGTTTTATTTGCTTACTAACACATCATGTTGAACCAACACATCATGTTGAAAATGCGGTTCCTATACAATCACCAAAGTTATCAATGTCAAGCCTAGTCAGTATCTCAATGGCTGACAGCTTGAAAATACCAGGTGCTGCTGTAAGCTTTAATGTGTAGGCTGTGTAATGGATAATGGCTCTGAATTGGAAATCAGAGAGCCAAGTTCTAATTCCAGTTGGGTTTGTTATATTCACTTATTCCAAATACCTTTGGGAAAGGCATGAATTCACTTCTCCTCATCCCAGCCATGGGTTAATGAGTAAGATATTTATCCTTATTTCCCCAAACAAAATTCTTGAAATCTAAAAATATTTTCTGGATTTAAATAACCTGCTTTTTTTTTGATAAGCCATAGAGAATGAATAAATCAATCAAAGATTTTGTTGATAGAAACATGTGTATGTTGGTTCTACATCAAGTGCACTTTTAATTTAAATATCAAATTTTTGGCATTCATTGCAGATAGATACATAATCTAGGAATATCATATCAACATATCATCTTAACAAAACCACTGCTATTACAATCTGGGATATATATATAAAAAAAATAACCAATAGCAATAAAAACAAACAAAGGTGAGATAAAACTGAATGATGTCAACTAAGTTATTATGGAACATAAGTTTTTTCTTTTAGTCATTCAATTACCCATAACCATATATATATATATATATATATATATCATATATATAAATATATATATATATATATGCGGCATACATTAAAGCATGAAAAAACATGAAAAAGTTTTTACAGGCATTTCAGAACATTACTGCAGTATTCATAGTTATTTCTGTTCAGTTGCCAGCTTTAATTTTTTAATATAAATTGCTTTTAGTATCTGTAGTCTAAATTTGTTGTTTTCATGGTGTAGGATAGTTGTGTTGTTGATCAGTAATTTTATATATTGTGAATGTGGACAGGAATGTTGTAGATGTCTTGCAATGAACACACACACACACACACACACATATATATATATATATATATATATATATATATATATATATCATACTCAACCAACGCTTCTATCAACATGACCTAGTAGATAAAATTGTTGGTTGCGTGATGTAAAAGTGACTTGACCTAAAGAATTTTGAGTTCAATACATCAGAGGGAACAAAAACTTGGAGAGTTGAATTACTTAGGGAAATCAACTGCATTAACAGGCATGTCATGTGGAATTAGAACAATCTAACCTTGTGGACTAAATAATGGGTTCAGTTTGAAATTCTAATCACTTGAAGAAGGCTAGTGCATACAACAGCTGAAATGTGATAAATATGGCTGCATCATCATTCTCCCAGCTGACAAATTAATAAAGATAAGGACAACTGTCTGAACAATGTAAATAGTGTAAATAGCTACAATATTTCATCTCAGAAATTTAGACAAATCTTGACTTCTTCAAGTGTAGAGTTAGTCATCTTTCCTGCATAACCCCAAGAACTTCATTTTTTTCCCTTTTTTATGCTCATTTTTACTCCACACAGTAACCCTTTACACTTGAGTGGCTCTTGAGCTTTGTATTCGGTGAAAATTAGTGAAAAAATAGGTTTGTCATTTAATACACTAAATTCAAAATATAAGTCATTTAATATAGTAATTCTCATCTACTCATTCTTCCAATTATAAATCAATATGTTTCATATTACTTAGCTTCACATTGTATAGAATGCTGCTACAAGTCACATTTGATGATGGATCATAAAGACTGCAGAAATTCTACTTCCACTATAATTAAAAAATGCAAATTTAAGAGTGTCTCTGTAAAAAGGATGAAGAAAAAGTTGAACTTACTCTGTTGATAAATTAAAGAATGAGTGACATGTTTTGTCTATGCCACATGTGTCTATTGCACAGAATGCTAATTTTGGCATCCTATCCAATCTTGACTTGAAATAAAATAGAGATAGCCTCTTCAAATACACAGCACACATTCTCCCAGGTTTTTCTTTTTACGCTTACCCAAAATCTGAAAATGGGTTGCTACTGACAATGTTATTAATGTATCGTGTCTAGTAAAAAAAATTGCTATACCTTCTTGTCTGAACCTAACAAAAATATTTCTAACATATAAATAAGATCTAATAATTTGAGTTGTACTAAAAACTTAATTTATACATCTGATAACTTCATCTTTTTCCTCTTAAAATGCTGTGTCGGTCATGGCAGTAGTTATAGTGAGATTAGTCATTGTCCTACAGAAAACATTTGGCATTTATTGGCTGAAATATTAGCATTACTGTTGGCTGAAAATTATAAAATTTTTCTTTTAAAAATTTTCAGGAATAGCTTTTTCAAATCCAGTAACTGTTATTCCCCTTTCTAGTATTGATGGGTGGTTTCCTTCCTAACCTTTTCTTTTAGGTAGTGTGGAACATCAACATTTTGATTCTCATTATTTTCTTCTTTTTTTTTCTTTTAATCAAATCCATCCCAAACAAGGCAGTAAAGTCACTAAGACCTAAGCGGTTATTGGGTCTTAAAGAATTAGAAAACAGAAAACATTATGAAGAAGTGGAAACACTAGAAGAGTAATCAAGAAGACAGTAGATAACAAGTGACATTGCATTTAAATTTTTGAAGATCAAAGTTGATCTGAAAACATGGAGCTGGAAGAGTGAGAAGTGCAAGAAAAGAACCTCTTAGCATAGAACTTAGTTACATCTAGCCAGTTCAACTGTAAATTGTCTTGCACAACACAGTGAATCAACTTTCTTAGCAGCTGACCTAGCAATGGATTCAGTGTAGTCTTTCTACTTCATGTCAATGGGGAACGTTAGCCTGAGAAGGTATAATGAGTCATTCTTCAGGAGGTTAGCATCAGCCATGCTGATTGAAGGCAGAAAGGAGTCTTTTAGAGGATTAACAGAGAGCAGTTTAATTATCCATTTTAATTGTTGCTACTTTTGGAAGTCATTGAGTGGTGGTGCCGTTGTTATTTGGTAAAGTTCTTTGTTTGTGATACTGTAGCACCAGTCTGTAGGATCTGATAAAGTGCAGGTATCATTCACTTGAATCCGCTTTTAATCAATGATTTCTACAATTAAAATTTACAAGCTGTTACCCATTACATCACATGAACAGCCAAATTTACAGCACCAGGTATTCCCAAGTGGTCACCCATCTAAGTACTGACCAAGCTCGAAATTGCTTAACTTCAGTGATTGTATAAGAACCGGTGTTTCAGAGTTATGTGGCCATAAGCCCACAGTATTATGTCCAATATGATTAATAAAAAAAAACTGTTGGGTTTTGTTACCAAAAAGCAGGAAGATGTGAAGAGACATGATTGCCTATGTCTTAAATGGACGTGGCACATAGAATGAAAGAGAAGGAGAGTTGGATTATGCACATTGACAAAAAAAGATTATTATTCGCATTATCTGAACTCTTACTATTGTCCTCATCTTTGTTGTCATCGGATAATAGTCCAAGTGTAAATAATGATGCCTCCTCATCCCAGAAATTTAGACATAAATTATTGAATCAAAGAGAAGATTATACTGAAAAATAAATACATGCTGTATTAGATGAATACATATTTTGACAAAAAGAAACTTACTTATTTAACTGTGTATGTTTTTCTTTACTTTGACTCTGCATGTCCCACATAGCTCTTGAGATGCCAAAGAATTCTATTCATATTTATATAAAATTCATTGCTTTGCTTTGCTTTGTGGGCCATCATTCCTAATAACAATAAATGTGTAAACAGAAAGGTATGTAAAACTTTCTGCTATTGAGATGTAACCCTGGTAGCAATCAGTTGTATTGCATTTAACAGTGACAGTTAGAAAGGAAACAGGGAAGGGGGGAACGTTTCTCCTAATAGCAAGACAAGGTAAAAAGAATAATCAAGAATGCGTTACTTTCTTTTCTTTTTATTGCTTGATCTTCATTCTTCTCTTTCATCACTACAATAATATTCATTGTTTTTATTCTTTTCTGTCTGGTTTTCTTTTCTTTTCTTTTTTCCTTTGGTTGCTTTCAATTTGGAACACACTTCCAAAGGCAATAATCTATTCTGTATTTAAATCAAACAAAAGGCAAAAGGTTTCAGTTTCACTCTATGGGTTTTAATAGGAAAAGGAGAAAGAGAGACAGGGTGAGAGAAAAAGAAAGAAAGAGAAAGAAAGAAAGAAAGGAGAAAAGAGAAAGAAGAAAGAAGAAAAGAGAAAGAAGAAAAGAAAAAGAAGAAAAGAGAAAGAAAGATAGAAAAAGAAGAAAGAAAGATAGAAAAGAGAAAGAAGAAAGAAAGATAGAAAAGAGAAAGAAGAAAGAAAGATAGAAAAGAGAAAGAAAGATAGAAAAGAGAGAGAAAGAATAGAGAAAGATAGAAGAGAGAGAAAGATAGAAGAGAGAAAGAAGGGAGAAAGAAGAAGATAGAAAAGAAAGAAAAGAGAAAGGAAAGAAAGAAAAGAGAAAAAAATAAAAGAAAAGAGGTGGAAGAGAAAGAAAGAAAAGAGTGAGAGAGGAGGAAAGGAAAAAGAAAGAAGGAAGAATTAGAGAGTAGCAAATGCCGGATGGAAGACAGAACACTGATGAGGCTGTGAAGGGAATGAATGAAGGGAAGTTAAAAAAGATAAAATGAGAAGAAAGAAAAAAAATGGGGAGAAAAAATTAATCATTTGAAAGATGATAAAAGGGAAAAAGAAATGGAAAATCAAGTGATGTAAGCAAAATAAAGATAGTAGAAAAGTAAAAGGAAGAAGGAAGAATTAGAGAGTAAGAAATGAAAAAGAGACATGAAAGAATAAAGAGGAAGAATGAAATGAAAACAGAAAATAAGAAGTAAAAGGGAGAAGAGCAAGAGAATGAAAAAATGTTGAACAGAGAGCAGGCAGCATAAAAGAAAAGTCAGAAGAAAGAAGAGAAAGTGAGAGGAAAAGAGGAAAAAAAAATGCGTGAATGAAAGGAAAAATTGAAATGAGTGAAAATAGAAGGTGGAAGAGGGAGAAGAAGAGTAAGTAAAAAGGATATTGAAGAGAAAGATGCAAGTGTAAAAGGAAGAAAAATAGAGAAGAAGTGATGTTGAAGAGAGAGAGGTAATTGTAAAAAAAAAAAAAAGTTGAAAGAAAGAAAATATAAAGCAGAGACAGAAGAATTAGAGAACAAAAGAGAAAAGAAAAATAGAGAAGAAAGAAAGAAATAATGAATGAAAGAAAAAATTGAAAAGAGTAAAAAAAAGATGCAACAGAGAAAGAGATGAATTAAAGAGTAATGGAGAACAGAAAAATAGAAGAGAAAGGAAGTGAAGAAAAACAAAGTGAATGAAAGGAAAACTGAAATGGAAGAAGAGTACGAGAGAAAGGTAAGTGTAAAAGAAAGAAAAATGAGTAAGTAGACGAAAGGACACTAGAAATGAAAAAAAAAAATACAAAAAATGAGCACAATAAAAAAGAAGGTTAAGAAAGAAAAGGAATAGAAGTAGAGTGAAAAAGGAAAAGAGAAGTAGAAAGGAAGTAAGAAAGAAAAATACATCAGAGAAATAGGTTAGAAAGTATGAAAGTCTAAAAGAAGAGAAAAAAGAAAGGAAAAAGGAGAATGAAAGAAAAATGAGAATGAAAGGAAAAAGAGGAATTAGAAGATTAAGAAAAAGCCCACAAAAAAAAAAAATGATGAAAGAAAAATGAGAATGAAAGGAAAAAGGAATTAGAAGATGAAGGAAAAGTCTGCAAAAAAAAAAAAGAATGATGAAGGAAAAACTGACAAAAGAAAAAATGATATTGAGGATAGAGGAAAAGAATGAAAAAAAAAAACAAGGGAGAGATGAAATATAAAGGAGAAAAAAAATCAGTAGTTTGGGAATGTATGATGTTTGAGAAAAATGATGTTGATGAGGATGGAGAAAAAGATTGAAAACTATTAGCCCTCATCAATACTAGAAAGAGAGATACTTATTTTCCTGAACTGTTTTGAGAAAGATTTTACAAATTTCAACTGAAAATAACACTGGCTGCTTAGTCAATGAATGCCGAATGTTTCTTAACCTAAGGAAACAACTTATATTATCCATATGATGTATTGTATTGTAGCCCTTCACTATTCTGTTCATGTGATCATGATGGACACAATATTTCTTCATGGCGTTGGTATTTTCTTCCCCTATCCATTTTATTACTAACATAATCTAAATGCTCTTCATGAACATTCTATAATACCCTTTATACTTCGTAGCAAACTCGAGATTTATTTCTTTTAGATATTAAGTACATAGCAATCCCTGTATATGTTATTATACACTCTTGTGTTATAACCTGGCAACTTTTCACTTATAAGGTTGTGGGGACAGGAGGAGGAACACAGGCCCCTGGTCCTTGAGACCAGGGCACTTGGACATGTTCTGTATTGAGTTACAGCCCATTTATTTTTGTTCTACCAACTGGATGCTAGTTGGAAACTTTCCCGTCTACTCTTACTTCTGGCATTCTTAGTCTTTATTACTTTCAGTTACTAAAGCCCCTTAGCTTTTGGTGTTCTTACTTTACTTCTGTTTCTGGCCTGCACATACTCCGGCCACATCAGCTGTCTACTTTTGGCTTTCATTCCTGCATTGACCAGCACTCACAATGACCAAAAGCCCCTACTACTTCTGGCATTTCTGGACCTGCTCATACAATGGCTACAAAAGCCCCTTACCATAGGCTTTTCTAGACTTGCACAGCTCTTTACTTCTGGCTACACATGGAGAAACCATCTTTGGCATTCTTATTTAAACCTATCTCACCTGGTTCATCAGTATTAATGAACCTGCTTACAACAGAACTTCTGGCTATGCATTGGTCCCTACTTCTAAGCATCCCTATTTCAACCTAACTCACCTGGGTTCATAGGAAGTTGCTGCATACATATCATCCAGATTTCAACCAACTTATTCCATACACTTGGATAAAATACTATGGAAGGTTCATCGTTGGACTTAACCAGAAAGAAAATATGGAAAATGCAGGAAGAAATAGGTGTAAAAATTAGCAAAGAAAAAAGAATGAAGATAGGACTGAATTGAAGAACGAGACCAAATAAAAAGAAATTTTAATTTCTGAAAGAGATAATATGGAAAATAAAAGAAGAAAAAGGTATAATACTTAGCAAAAATAAAAGAAAAAGAATGAAGACAAATGAACTGAAAAAGAAATTTTAATTTCTGGAACAGAACGAAAATATTGGATTCCAGATGTACAAACAATGTGTGATGCTTCTTGTATAATCACCTTTTAAAATAAATAAATAAGGAAAAAAATATATTATAATGAGGAATAATAAATGACTTGAATGGAATGCAGAAAGTGAGAAAGAAAGAGAGCATGCTTAAGATAGTGATAAAGAAGAGAATGGTTTTACATTGGCGCTACAATCCATTGTCTGACAAAAGGAATTATTGAAGAGACATGAATTAGCATGATAGAGCTGAAGTGGCTTGATGCCATTCAACTCAAACAGATTGAGATAAAGATGGACTGGAGAACTTCTTCATTCATGACAACATTATCTACCAGAAAATATAATTATACTTTGAGAACAATGGATCTCTATTGAACATGGTTGGGAAATGAAATAAAGAAAAGGGAAAAAAAAAAAAAAAAATTACTAATATATATATATATATATATATATATATATATATATACACACACACATATATATATATATATATATATATATATATATATATATATATATACAGGATGTGAAGAATAATTGCTGCCATTTTACATTTTTCATTTAGTATAAGCGCAATTGTTTGTTTTTGATTTTGTCGACTGCACAATATAGTAAGGGCAGTTGGGTGCCATCTATGAGAAAAAGAGCACCATGATGGAATTCGCTCTGCCAGAAATTTGGAAATGGCAGACTGTACTGCTTGGCATTTGCACCAGAAGCTTCAATACAAAGAAATTTCAGCGGACAGTGCAGAGTTTTCGAAAAGCGTTATATAAGTCTAATGGCGATGATGACATTATGCATCCATTCATCTTCCCATGGTGCTGGCATGGAGTTAGTGCTGCCCAGGGTCAAGAGGATGGCTGCTGGGAGACCTTATGTCTGGCAACAGGACTCTGCACCATTTCACAGGAGAAGGAGAAGCCAGTCATAGCTGTCAGACAATTTCTGTGACCACGTTACCCCGTATATGTAGTCACCTAACCCCCTAGACTGCAACCCCCTTGATTATTAAGTGTTGGGGGGAGTTGAGTGAGAAACCAACATAATTCCTTGTAATATGAAAGTTGAACTGAAGACAGTAATTATGGCAGAATTCACCAACTTAAAGAAGAAGACCATCCAGAAGAGATGCAAGAGATTCCAAAGTCTTCTGGTGGCTGTGGTTGAAGCCAATGACGATTTTATGGAATAAACTTACTCTTTTAATATTTCAAGATATTTTTGTATCATGTGGGTAAACATATCTGTTAAAATTTGATGTCAGTGTTATTTTTATTTTTGCATAATTTAGACAACAATTTATGCATTGCACCCTGTATATTCACATGTACACATACACGCATTTACATATTTATATCTTGTATACATATATAAACAGAAATTCAAACTGTATTAACCAGATGTTTCTTTTTGGTTGAATGGTTAACAGCACATCAGATCAAATGATGCTTTGTATTAAGGGTTACAGGTTTGATTCCTGTTGTTGAAGCACTTATTTTCTACAAAATTTCTCAAACATTCAGGCTGTTAAATGTAATTAATAGTGTTTAATTAAAAAAATAGTGCATTTAATTAAATCAATTTTAATGACCCAATTCATCAGACCTACAAATTCAAAAAGCTTTTTGAATTTCTAGGTCGGATGAATTGTATCATTATTATGAATCCAATGAAAGGAATTATAAACATGAAATATTAGTATTTGAGCATTTTATATAAACAAACATATATATATATATATATATATATATATATTTTTGTTTGTTTAGGTAGCAAATTCTCTTTCAGGCATGTCTGATTAAATACAAACAATATGTCTGCTTATTTTTAATAAAATCCATTCATGCTCACGGATAACCTTTTGTGTATTGCAATTAAATGATGTGAGAAATGTGCTATAAATATGAAAATCTTTTTATTTTCCAATTCCCAAGTACTTCAGTGGTATAGGTAGTAATACAAAACTGTGTTCAAAACTGTGTTCACGGGTGCAAGTAGAAATACAAAACTGTTTTTTTAATATCCATTACTGTAATTTTTGTTTTTTGCTTTCAAATGCAACAGTTGATAGTCATGCTTAGTATACAATAGAACAAGAACAAGAAAAAATTATCCACTATGGAATTTTTTTCTTCTGTGTTGTAATGTCATGGTCATTATATATATATAGGGTGTCTATAAAGTTCGTTTGCACTTTAAAAAAATTATAACTTTATTTGCAATAGAAATAATTTGTAAAAACGATTAGAAAGAAGTAAATCTATTTATTATTTTTTTTTTTTTTTTAGGTTTTATTGAAATTTTATTTAAGTTTATGGATGCAACACTTTCATTGCTGATACATGACCTTCCAGACCGTTGCTTATCATGGACGGAGCCTGTCTCTTTAAATTTTTTCATCCATTTAGCAATAGTGTTCCTATGAGGTGATTCTTTATTGTATTCAATTCTAAACTTTCTTTGGCTGAACTGACATCTACTATTGCTGTACAATCAATGGATACTGTTTACTTTTTCCTCAGTTGAATCCATGGATCAAATTGATTCTGGAAAAAAGAAAATATTTTTTTACTTATCTAAAAATTGTTGCAAATTTTGTGGTGAAGATTTATTCAATAATTATACTTAAAACTAGGTACATTAAACTTTATAACATTTTTTACAGATTATTTCTATCACAAATACAAATAAAGTTATAAATTTTTTAAAGTGCACATGAAGTTTACAAACACTCTGTATATAAATTTATATACACACGTCTATCTATATGTATGTATATATATATATATATATATATATATATATATATATATATATATATATATATATATATATATTTTTGAAAAAATAATCAAATTTGAAATATGTTAAGAAAGAGAAAGAACAGATGGAATTAGAATCTACTGTTCATAACATTTACTTTTTTTAAAAAAGTACTCAGTACATCTTTGAGTAAAATCGTAGCCAAACATATAAAATAAAAAAATAATATAAAAATATACAAATATATTTGGCATTTAAAAGAAATTAATAAAACTTCTATGGTAAAATGGAAAATATTAAAAAAAAGTATCTGTAAATCCGTAGATAAACTTTGTCTCCTGTGTTTACAAGAAAAGTTACATATTATAAAGTTTCCTGAAAATAAAGTAATGTATTAAATGTATTATGTAGGAATTGTATAAATTTTACATTAAAATATATTTAAAAAGAATTTTTCATAAATGATTTATGCATTACAATTACTTAGCCATTATTTTTATTTGATTTTTTTCAATTTTAATATTGCCTTGTTTTATCACTCATTCAATATAAATAACATTGTATATTAAAGTTCCATAATTTTTTTTTACCTATTCAGCACCTTTTAAGAGATTTCCGTAATATAAAAAAAAATTTTGAAAATTCTTAAAAGTAATTTTTTGCTCAAGGTAAGACTGTCTACTTCACCAACTCTGTATTTGACTACAATATGTTCACTGCTGACTTGTCTAGAGTGTCAATTTATCAAGACATGAATTAATAACTGAACTCCCTCCACTCTCTGAACTTATTTTTCATTTTTCTCTTTTAGCTTAGATCTGACTTTTAATTGGTTAATCCAGACATGCCCACAAGTATATTTTTTTAATTCTGACATTAGGATCCCCCTACCTTTTTAACTTTCAAAAGAGGTAATGATTTTTTGTTTTTAAATTTCTCAAATAAATCATTTTTATTATGTTATCTACCATCGCCCGAAGAGGAATGATTATAGTTCTGAAACAGGAAAGTTTTCTGCAGTGATGTAAAATGTTTTTATTGCAATCTATTGAAATAAAAATATGTATATATACCTAGTTGGATTGCCCTTATCACTCATGGATTTGATATTAATATACTTATATATAAAGACACATGCATGCACAATATTTTTGTTTATGTATATATATATATATATATATATATATATATATACATACACAACACATTAAATCCCTCTCTCTTATTTCTCTTAAGTTTTGTGCAATTATTTATTTTTAAACATTATAGTGTTCCTAAAAGTCTTGTTTTTAAAAAAAATAAAGCATGAAGAAATCAATTGACTGAAATTGCCTCAAGATATTGAAAGGTTGAAACCAATGTAGCAGAATGTGCTGATGACTGAATTTTTTATACTTTTATTTTCTACATGTTAAATCTTTATTTTTTTTTTTTATACATGTATGGGCACTAATACTACTGTTTCCTAGTTTAATTCAACTCCAATCATAACTTTTTATTATATACACACACACACAGTTTAGTTATGCTATATTTATGGGTATTCAATATCAGAAATAGACAACTTGTAAATATATGAGCCGACACTGAAATCAACACCAATCAGAGGCATATATATTATATTTTTATATGTTGTTTAAAATTCCTATATTCATTGGGGAAAATTGCTCAGTATTGGAAATAGTGTATATATATATATATATATATATATATATCTCCGTCTGAAGATCTTGGACTGTCTTGTGATAGTTAACATTGTGATGCCTTTTTTGCTATGTCTAAGAAATCTAGGTACTGCACACTTGTATTTACTGCATAGGTAGGTTTATTTTTATAATCATTTCAAATTATATAGTGCACAGTGATTATTTATTTATATATAGGTATAATGGAGTAATTCATAGCAGTTCTAAGAGAGAAGCTGGAGAGCTGAGTTTAAATTCCAGTTGAGTTTATTACATTCATTTCCATGCTAATAATCTTAGGAAAGGTATGTATCCTCTCCTTCTCCCCTCAGCTATGGGTAAATAGTAGTTCAGACTGGGTCTTATAGCCTTGTGTGGCAAAACGGTCTAGGAGAAGGACAACTCGCTTGAGATCCTGTATTCAACTCTCCCATAAATTGTGGTTTGTTCTGCACAAGCCTTCGCCACTATAATCAAACAATATGTGCAGGTAGTCTGGCTATTGGTTCTAAGAAATGAGCTTCTTGACTCTTATACATAGAAAACAATGGGAGAGTCCAGTATATTATATTGTGTGTCTGTAGTTTACTGCTACCTGCAAGCAGAAATATTTCTTCTCCTGATGATGGCCATTTTGGCCAAACTAGTCAAGGAATCTAAATGAAATAATAATAAAAATGGAAAAAAAATATTA